TTGCTTATATTCAGACATACTTTGCATATTTGCTGTTTACTTGTGATTATATGCAGCGCTGAAACTGCATATACCTGCTTATTTGGGATAGACAAATATAAGCAGTTGAGTATACTAGATATATATAAAAATTAAAACTGATTATATTTGCATATGATCTGCATATATGCCACTTTTCATGAGTATTTCTGCATATTTTGATATAAGTAATATGCAGCATGTGAGTATATTGAGACATGCACAAGAATATAAACTAACTACATTAGCATATATAGAGTCAAGATCGGTATATTTGACATATTCTTGCTTATTTAGGAGGACTGGTAGACGCTGTTTTGTGAATTGGGCATAAACATCTGTTAATGTAAATTCATATTTATGAGCATTTGAGTGTTGTAGCTATAGGTTTGGTTTACTGTACTTGTTTTTTGGGGTAAGAGATTTTAAAATTGCACATAAACAGCTTTTACGTTTTTATAATTTATTTTAAATTTCTTTAGATTTCTATGTACAGAGTAGGCCAATGAGACGACCTCTATAAGTAATAACTTCTAATAGTATACATGTCATGATATAGGGAGAAAATCATTGTTACAACTTATTAGCCCCGTGAAATAATATCGCTTGATGATGGTAATGTTTTGATCCACCTTTCATATCGCTTGATACATATATAGACATATTTACATTGCACTGTAATTATATTTCTTCCTTTAAATGATACATAATTATTGTAGGCAAAAATATGAATGCCTATTTCAAATCATTGAAAATTATATTCTCTCTCGAATGATAAGCCTAATAATGATTTTACTTTTAAATGGATTATTTACTCATTATGTTTTGGCCAAACCTGTATACTGCTAAACGAATATATTTACATTGCATTGTACATGATGTAACATTATATTTCTATCTTTAAAATGGTGCGAACTAATGCTCCAAATCAATGTACGCATATTGCTCAATCTTGAAAACGGTGTTTTTTGTAGCAAGATATGGCCTGTCTTCCGGTAGCAAATTCTCGTACGATATCGAATTCTGCTTTCTCCATTCAAACTCCTTTCTTCTTCATCCTAGTGTCTTCTACACGTTTCTCAATATCTATGTAAATTCAGCTATCACATGTATTCTATTTTGCGGGAAATTTGACACTGCACACAAAGACACTGCTCTGAAGACACTCCTCTGAAGATACAAAGACTGCTGTGTATTTTATTCAATGATACAAAGACATTAGTTTATAGCATACTGTTCAGCCATACAGTATCATGGACCTTCCAAGACAATCAATTTATTAAATTATCAAGATCAATGCCAAATCTTATGTTTACAACAATTTGCCAGGTGTCTTTATTGTGTTTTTTTTTCATTATCAAACTCAATCATCTATCCATTAAGGGAAATAAAAAGCAAGCTAAAGTTTCACTTACGAGAGGCTTCGTCGTGTCCCTGGGTCTGGCATGGAGCAAATGGCTGACTGGCTAAATTGCGACATGGGCTTCTAATCAAAAGCCCATGATTGCGCCAATGTGTAGACATTCTCACAGTATGGCTTTATGATTATTTACTACTCAACAGACATTGGTCATTTGGCAAGCTTAATGTTTCCCTGTCAACCACCTGTGTGCGTGTCACGTACGATTATTACTTGCGCATCATAGCTCGGAGACATGCAGTTTGCTCAATATCCACCCCCTCATTTTTAGTTATTCAATAACAAAATATATTGTTAAAACATAAAATACTAAATTTTGCGACATTTTGCTGCTATTGAACAGTCATAATGCTGTTTTGATGAACCCATGATTTGACATCTCTAATAAGTAATCTAAACATAAACAATTACTAATTACCTGACACAATTGCACATAGGGGCCGGATGTTTGGAGAAGCACCTTGATAGTTGAAACCAGGAATTGTTTTGAATGGTATTTGTGATTTGTATAGAATTACCTTTTCATTCTTAGCATTCAAAATACAAACTAATAATTCACTTTTTGATGTATTCAGTTTTAATTCAAATAACAAGCTTATTCATAGTAAATCTGAATGACATTCTGATGATTTAAGAATTGTATTATCTTGCGTCAAGATCCTTGACCCCCTCCCGACATAATACATGTATCTCTTTAATAATCTGCAATCAAGAGATTGATAGACATAATTTAATCAGATAAATGGCTTATCTAGTTGTAAAATATTTGTTCGGACCCTTTTTTATATTTGTGTAGGCCTTGGTGTATATAATCTATATGGGGATTCAGCAGGGGATTATTGGGTCAAATGTATTTTCCTCTCTTATGTCTGGGTCACATTTGCCGCGATTCATCGGCGGCTGATTGAATATTTTGTTCCAAACTGAAATATGGGTTGCAATCAAATGTTTTGAAAGCCATTCACCATGATTTAAGTAAAACATATTATTAAAGCTCTTTTTTAGACATTCAATCAATTTAAATCAATCAAGTTTGAATGCGATTGCATACATGTATTTGCAGATGTAGTGTATTTTACTCACATTTTCTCACAGAGCTGTCATTTAACATGTAATACTGAGTTTTCAATATTTTGATACAATTGTTTATTATTTTGCGATAATTAAAGCTTTAATCGGGGATAGAGATTTCGACAAAGTACACGTACATTTAGTATTACAAGTCAAAAACCTTTTTTACTTTACATCATAATCCCGGGATCATAATTTACTTGGAACCCAGATGCTAGAGGAAGCAGAAGATAAACTCACATCAAATACGCTAAATGAAATTATTGAAAATATAATTGGTATTAAAATTCTCAATATTTTATTTCAACAAATGCCTTGATCTCAGATATTACTTTCCCATGGATTTAAAAATCATCCCAGAACTAATTATAGGTAACACCATTGTGCACAAGCCGTCTGATTGCATTACTCGCTAAAATAACATCCTTAGAAGTGAACAATCCAAACATCTGATAATAATATAGCTAAAGTCCCCCCTCCCGGTATCCATGCCCACCTTGTTCAGTTGTATCCTTAAAATGTTGAACTACCTTTTGCATTCCTTCAGAGATAATCGGTTAATTTCTGAATTTAAAAGAAATTTAATTATACAATGTAGCACGGGGATTTAGAAAAACTGGCTATAGAAATTAATCCATTTAACTATATCAAACGGATTAATATCAGTGAGAACTTAACTCATTTGCAAGAATTGAATAATTAGGGATTAAAGTTTTGTGAATGTTTTTGGGAATGGAAAACAAAGCAAGGTCCAATTCAAAATAGAAACAAGGGTATCTCTGATCAGGTTTTGTCTCTTCATTCTCATATAATCAAGTTATCAAAAAATGATATTTTGATTCACAAAACTGCACCGAAACATTGAAAAGTACACGAAGGCAACCGCATTTGCAATCTATAGTTCTCAAAAAGCAGGGTTATTAAAAGCCAGTTTCAAACTGAAGTTAAAAAGCCGGTTTTTGAAACCCAGTTGCTAAAATTCAAATTAGAATACTCTCTTTTCTATTTAAACTTAAATCAATTTATTATAAACAAACTATTCCGGGCAAACTATGACCAAGTGCATCGGGAATACAAAACTCCTGTAAATGAGTTATATAAGACAATGAAATCAACGCTGATTGAAACATAAACACTATAAAATGATTTAATCTTCTTTCGATTCCATTACCTGTCATATTTTTTTCTAAATACCGGCTTTACCGGGAGGAATTTAACATGGGCTTTAATTCAAAGGCAAGAATCACTTATTAAGCGGATTAAAAGATGTTGGACGTCGCTCCAGTGATTTATATTTTATGGTTCTGAATTGATGTGCAGATTTTAAATACAATTGAAAACATGACCAAAAGAGTCTAGACTACCATTTGCTTTGATCATGGGGAATGGAAAACAAAGCAGTGATTTGAAAAAGTAAACAATTGAATTCCTATGCATAATCCATGATTTAATACGAACGGTGGTAACAGGTTGTTAAATTATAATACATTCTCAGGAAGAATTAGGTTGCATTGACTCTAAAAGTAGAGATAACAAGTTCAGCGGTGTAGCCAGCTTTCCGTCGGGGGGGGGGGGGGGCGATCTCCATTAAAAACATGGGTTTGCACAAGTATTCTTTATTAGCAACTTATTGATAACTACAAGGAAGATCTCTCTTTTCCGGTGTGACTTAAAAGGTGTCGAAAAATCACAATTATAGTAAAAATAGATTATTTCGAAATCCATCCTGTAGTCGCTTATTATACACAGGTAAAGTCATATTCATAAAGAACTACGGTACTTACATTCTTTAGTTGTGTTGTTTTATCATGCTTAATAGAAAAATACGCACAAATAGTCAGTTATTTATTTGTATGCTCAGTTATAAAATGAGCAGAGCAACTTAGAAATAGCTTAATATAGTCAGAAAGAGGCAATTATAACGTGTGACTATATTGCACACTTACAGAGTATTGCGTTTGCATATATTTGAGTATTCTTAACTCCATGTATAATCAGTGCTTATTTGTGCTGTTCTACAAATAAAGAGGAGCAATACTTGAATATACAGAGTGTTCCATATATGCAGCGAGTATTGTCTCTGTACTGTCTCTGTTTATATGTGCTGAGTATTTTTGCTGATTACTGCACATTACAAGAGATTCTTACAAATAGACACTGCTTATAACAAAGCAATATTCTCTATTTCATATAGTGATAAGCATCGAATGATGAAACAAAGAATGAAAAAACAAAAACAACCATGTATGTGACTTGTGGCAAAATGTGTAACCATGGAAACAATTGTTTTATTCCTTGATTCAATTGTGATAACCAGCTTAGGAATTTGTTGCTTTGTGGTTGATCTGTGCCCTTGAATTGGAATCTTCAAATTCTACGTATAACGAATAATTGGCCTCTGGTATCATCTGACATTAAGAATTGTCTGGTTTGAGGCTATTTTGTAAACTACTTATTAATGATTTATGATTTTGCCTCGTTGTTTATTTAGGACGCAACATGGAAGAAAAAGCCCTACAGCTCCATGCACTTGCGACAGTGAAGGTCGTTATGAACACTCGGCCAAGTCCACAAACAAACAACAATCAGTCAGACTCTGGTAAAACTAGTGAAATCCCAACAATTACTAATGGCCAAATAAGTGGTCATGTGACAGTGAATGGTGTCAATGGAACCATAACTGGCGACATCATGCCTGCCTCTAATGGCTATAATGCCAACAATCCTATGTATATAGATACTGCTGAAACTGAGGAAGAAAGCCGTGGTCCAGACAAGATTAGTCGATCAACTGTAAATAGCCTGGAAAGTGACACTAGTAGATCAACTATGATCACAACTATATCTAATACTACTGATAGACAAGTGATCATGCATAATACATCAATTGATACCAAGGATGAAAGTGATTCCGATGCTGTAAGTGTTTCCAAGGTAAATATGATTATATTCAACTCAGCCAAGGGGGTAGAACAAGCTCCTATGGGAATATTAGTAATTATGGTACTCCTAGATCTGCTATTTGTGTATGAGATGATATACTCCCATGGTCATTAAACTTCTCCATTCACAAACTTTTTTTGTTAATTTTCATCTCAACGTTTTTTTATGTATTTTATATAAAGCTGCCTATTAAAATAATAGGGATTATTATGATTTTCGCAATAAATCTCAACCAACAGGGGCATAAATTTGGCCAGAATCAAAAAGTGAAGAGGCAAGAATTAAATGTACCAGACAGATTTTAGTAAAATGCAATTAGACTATGATTGGATTTTATTTCATAGTTCCATTTGAAAAAATGCTTAAATTATAAAAGATCCGTAAAATTCTAACACGACAACTACAAAAAATAAGGCTGGGACCCATGTGTCTCATATTTACTGATGAAGAGCCTAATGGTGACACAAGTCCTGGTCCAGTTTTATAGAATAGTAGAATTCTTGTTGGAAATAAGCCAGAACTTCTTTTGAAGGGTTGATATTTCAGATTTATTCACTTTATTATTACTCCAGTAAAACCGCTGTAAATTTTCATAAATAAATGAAAAAATTGCACACCAGAGTAAACCTGGTGTAATTAATAGCCATTGGTAAGTAAAACAACATATCAAAAATCTAGAAAAATCTAAGTAGTGGAAAACCTTAAAATCACCATTTATACCCTCTGGGGTAATTTTATGAGGGGGTACTGTGATAAACATTAATAATTCCTGTTATATAACTTCAATCACAATGAAATCTTCAGGGATCATGCACATATATATAGTTAGTTGTCAAAGCAAGTTTGATATCAATTGGTCAATTGGTTACTATATCAACACAATTTAATTGCTCAAATCTTTAATAGTTCAGGTAAATCCGAAGCTTTCTATACTAATAGATGTTGTCATTTATCTTCAAATCATTTAAAAATGAACATTAAGTTACCCTAAAAACATATTTGGGGAGTGTTTAATAAGATAGCATCATTAATATGATGAATTATATGATAACTTTGACTCTGTACTCTATTCTATTAGGTTACTACCACTATATCTACCCAAAAGTGGGCGTGGCACTTTTTGGTGATAAATTCAAAAAATGACATTTCTACAGAATCAGCCACAGTGATATTTATAGTGCTTATGGATACTGATGTTATTCTTTAATATGGCGAGTCTGTACTTGATTGGTCAAGGGTTGCCATAGTAACAGACCATAATAAATGCAAATAGTGTAATGCAATATGTTATTTTATAACATGGAATATGATTCAACCCCAGCATATATGATGTGTTCCAATACCAAGAACATACCATCCGATAGCATAGTTCAGATACAAGAGCCTAAGCTGGCTCATCCTAAATAGTATATAGATGGTATAGCCTCAAGAGTATAAGATGGGTGCAGTCTCAAGAATATAATATGGTACAGCCTCTAGAGTGTAACATGTATTCAACATCAAGAGTCAAAGATGCTACAAAATTCTTAATCTATAATTGCTATAGCATTAAGAGCCTAGGATGGGTACAGCCTCTATGAGTCAAAGATGGTACAGTCTCCAGACCCTTAGATGATACAGCCTTTAGATATAACATGGGATCTGTCTCCAGAGATGGTAGACCCTTCAAAAGCTGATTGCTAAAGCATTCAGAGCCTAGGATAGGTACAGTCTTCACGAATCTCCAGTATCAGATGGTGCAGCCTCCAGACATAACATGGGATCAGTTTCCAGGGTCTAAGATGGTACAGCCTTCAGACCCTGAGAAGGTTCAGCCTCCAGATATGAGAAAATGGTTTAGTCTATGAGTATAACAATCAGAGTCTAATATGGCTTTAGCAACAAGAGTCTAATGGGTACATCTTCTTCTATGATGGGTAGAACATCCATTTTCAAGAGTATAAGATGGTCCAGCCTCTATCATCAAAACTTGACAAAGCCTAGTGTCTACTTTCTAATATGGTACAACCTCCAGAGTATAATATGAATTCATCCTCCAGTGACTAATATGGTGTAGCATCAATATGGATTCAGTCTCTAGTGTCAAAGATGAAAATCAGAGTCTAAGATGGGTAAGACTCCATGAGTCTTACGATAGTATAGCCTACAAATGAGATGGTATAGCCTCCAAAAGTCTAAGATGGTACAGTCTCCGGAGTCTAAGATGGTACAGCCACCAGAGTATAATATGAATTCAGCCTCTAGACTAATATGATGTAACTTCAGAGTATAATATGGATTCAACCTGTAGAACCAAATATAGTACAGCCACAATAGTACCTGATTTCTATGACAGTCAGAGTCCAAGATAGGTACAGCCTCCAAGTTTCTAAGATAGTACAGCCTATAAGAGTCTGAGTTGGTATAGCCTCCAAGAGTCTAAAAGGGTATAGCCTCCAGAGTCTACAACGGGTATAGCCTTCAAGAGTCAAAGATGGTATAGCCTCCAGAGCCTTTGATGAGTTCTAGGAATAGCCTTCAAGAGAAGATGGTACACTTTCCAGATGCAGTGTCTATGATGGGTAAAGCCTCCAAGAGTCTAAGATAGTACAGCCTCTCCAGAGTCTATGATTGGTATAGTCTCCAAGAGTCTAAGATGGTACAGCCTCTAGGGGCTTAGAGGGTTCAGCATTAAGTGTTTAATGGGTACATCCTCAATAGTCTACAATGAGTACAGCATCCATAATCTAAGATTCATACAGTTCACAAAGTCTAAGTTGGTACATCTTCTAGAGTCTAAGATGTCAAGAATCGACATTTTGTCACATATAACACCAATCTGTGGTTAATAAATGGGTCTAAGATGGTACAGTCTCTAGAGTTTCAGAGGATTTAGCCTCTAATTTTTAATGGTACATCCTCCAGAGTCTACAATGGGTACAGCATCCATAATCTAAGATTAATACAGCCTACAGAGTCTGAGTTTGTACATCTTCTAGATGTCAGGAATCATCATTTATTCACATATAACACCAATCTGTTATTAATAAATGGGTCTAAGATTGCACAGCCTCTAGAGTCTTAGAGGGTTTCGCCTTTAATGTTTAATGGGTACATCCTCTAGAGTCTACAATGGGTACAGCATCCATAATCTAAGATCAATACAGCCTACATAGTCTAAGTTGGTATATCTTCTAGAGTCTAAGATGTCAGGGAATCACCATTTAGTCACATATAACACCAATCTGTGATAAATAAATGGGTCTAAGATGGTACAGCCTCTAGAGTCTTAGAGGGTTTAGCCTCCAATGTTTGATGGGTATATCCTCCAGAGTCTACAATGGGTACAGCATCCATAATATAAGATTGATACAGCCTACAGAGTCTAAGTTGGTACATCTTCTAGAGTCTTAGATGTTCATATACACCAATATGTGATTAATAAATGGGTCAGGAAATGCTTTGACAGACTGACGGGCAGACGGACAAACAGAGCAGTATTATAACAAACAGCATTATTAGTTGTGTTAACACAGCAAACGCATATCAATATCATCCAAACTTGTATTTGTTAAAAAAAGATTATACACTAAAACATTTCTAAAGGATGGATGAAATAAACAATTTGTTACGGTATAAGGATTGCCTGAAATGATCTCTACCCACATCCTATTTACATACATTATCTTGTGTTACTATGGCAACCAATTGACAAAACATGTTTAGACTCACCATACCAGCTAATAACATATGTATCAATATGTCAATGAGCCCTGTAAATACGATTCTGTAAAAATGGAATTATTTTGAAATGTAATAACAAAAAGCGCCACGCCCACTTTGTGGTAAATCGCTTAGGAGTTATCAAACATGAATAGAGTCCAAAGCCAAATATGTCAACCTATTCATAGATTACTAGTAATCATGTTATCTTGTTGTAAACACCTTCAATATGTATTAAGCTCAACTTTGCATTCATTTTGAAAAATTAAAAATGACAAGCTACCATCCGTTTGTAGGGACACGGTTGATTTATCCTGAATATTTTCAATATTTTGAAGTTAAATTGTGTTGCCATGGTAACCAATTGTCCAATCAAGATTAAACTTTCCATGACTATTAACCAAACATAGATGCATGATCTCTGAAAACTTGAATGTGATTGGAGGCACATAACAGAAAATATAAATGCTTATCATGGTACCCCTCATAAAATAAGATCAGGGGGTACAAATAGTGATTTTTACATGTTGTCCACTACTTAGATTTTTCTAGATTTTTGATATGTGTTTTAACTCATCAATATGCATTTGTTGCACTAGGTTTAATTAGGTGTGCAATTTTTTCATTTATTTTTGATAATTTTACTGGAGTATATGAGATTCTAATATTTCCACTGGTGCCCCCCACTTTCATGATATTTATGTGGTGGCTGGGGATATTGATATTTTTAGATGTCATTCTGTCTGACTTCGTAATTATAAACTTAAAGCGTACACCCCATGTAGAGTTTGCTAAAGATAATTATCAGGGTTATTTCTGTGAATGTCAATATTTTAAAAAAGAAAATTATTTGTTCTATCGGAAAGGAGGTTTTGTAAATTTCTTAAGGCAGGCATATAGTTAATTAAATTGTGTTTTGGATAATCGGAGTGTTTATAATGCTGACATGGTTACTGACGTCACTTGTTTATAATGCTGACATGGTTACTGTCGTCACTTGTTTATAATGCTGACATGGTTACTGACGTCACATGTTTATAATGCTGACATGGTTACTGACATCACATGTTTATAATGCTGACATGGTTACTGACATCACGTGTAAAGAAGTCCTTCAGTATGCCTCCTTTGGGACTTGTTTTCTCACAATGTGCCACAGTATTCTTGAATGATTAACTTACAAATAACAGGATGTGTAGGCCTGCTCAGTTATGTTCCTCTAGTGCAGATTGCAGAAGGTCCCAGGTTCAAATCCCAGTCCAGGTGAATTCTATCTAATAAGGGCAACATTTTTCATATTTTAATTTTTTATTGGAGTCATTATTGATCTTTTCAATTATGTTATTGTTTTATTTCGAAATTTAATAAACTTTTGTATTTTACAATGATGTGGGGGCTTAGGCTTGAGAAGCATTGTTGAAAATTACAGTAAATGACGCTTTTGGGTCTGGGGCTATATACACATTTTCAAATACATTTGAGACTTTTTAAAACTTTAAGCTTTAATTTGTCCGACATTGCAACAGAATGTAGCTTTCCCTAAAGCCAATTATGATTTACTTGGAACTAGCTATTGAATGACCTGACCCGACTGTAGTTGTCAATTATTTTGTATTGCATTTGTATCATAGAACAGTAAAGAGTCCCTCAAGGAAGGCTCTCAGGCTTAATTTCTTCCATTGACATTTTCAAGATATGAATAATATATGAATTATACCCCTGAACTATTGCTCACCTTGAATGAGGTAAATAAAACAATATAAAACAATTTGAAAATCCAGTAAAATCTGTCTTTCCACTGAACACCTCTGGCACTGAACAAAAGTGTTCTGGTAGGTGAGTAAGTAAGTAGGTGTTCACATTTCAAAGTTTATAAAAACTGGGATTTTGGTTTCATGACCATTACCGTATCATACATTTCCAGTTACCTTCCCTTAAGCGGTGGAAGTTATCTTTGAACTGTGGCGGCCACGCACGTCAATGAACAGATATTCATATTCCATAGTTTCCATGTCATATAAGTCTGATTGGGTGGTTCAAATTCAAATATCAAAGCATTGAATCAACTATTAAGTAATTCAATGAAAACTAAAAAATATTCACATTTTAACCTCTCAAGATGCTTCTCTTAAAGCACAATAAGATTGTGTGTTCTTACAGTTCCTTTCTCGAGGCTAGTTTGAAAGTTGAAAGATGTTGATGAGTATCAAAGTGCAATAAGGTCAAATTATCATTTATAAAAATCCATATATTAGGAATTATAAGTAAACCATTGCTTTGAATATAGAGGATTGCATCCAATCATCAAATAAATAATTTGTTTTAGGGAATCATATTATTTGTCTTGATAAATATAAAACCTCTCTCCTTTTTGATTAATAAACTCATATAAATAAGTCCATTAAGCAGAGGGCAGTGACACTGGATCAAAGGGCGTTGACTGTGTCAGAGATAATCTATTAATCATAAAGCCTAGTTTTAATATAGTTTTCTGCATCAAATATATGGTTCATGAATTCGAAATAGCTTTATTATTGTACGACCAAATCTAAAGTAAATTAGGTTAATAGTTTTGTTGTTTTGCAACAAGGTTAGGCAAACATATATATTTTTATTAAGAAAGTTTGATAGGGATGTAGCGAAGCCCTCCTATCTGTCCATCAGTCAGTCACTCAAACATTCTACTATATATTTTGTTTAATGTTTTCTAAAATGAAATGTTTAGAAAGAAGAAACATTCAGGAATAGTTCATAATGAAATAGGAGAACTCTTCTGTTCCTTGTGATTTGTTATTCATCCTTGGAGTTGCCATTTTCTTGTTGAACTTGAATAGAAAACGATTAATCATTCCTCAGTTTTTATAATGAAATTCTTATATACAAAGGATCTTGCAAATAATTGCTCCTAAATATATCATTAACGAGATTGGTTCGACAATTTATTACAGTATTATATTTTATAACTATTGATCAGTGTGTTCAATGCACACATTTGCAAACCATGAATAATTTATAAAATGCATTGATGAAGTGAATAGCATATAATTCGAACTGGTCTGCCAGTATTATATAGTACTCCATAGTATTCCATAGCGTCTTATGCAATATGGTATCCAAGCATTATATTTATTACATTTATCGGCATATGGTACCGTAAGAGTGAAACCTGTTTATCTGTCACGTCCAAACACCTTTCAATATTACCACATTTTCAGCCTTATGTTTTATATCCCATAGACTTCCATGTTAAAAAACTAAATGTGAACACCTGCCAATGTGAACACCTGCCAATGTGAACACCTGCCAATGTGAACACTTTTGGCTGGTCCCTGTAGTGTTCAGATTCGATTGGTTCTACTATACAGGCTTACAGTAAAAAAAATACAGTTTTTAAACATACCCGAATCATAACGAAAAGCAAAGAATTTCTTGGATATTTCAATATGTCATGTTCAGGGCTGAAAAGGGACTTATTAATAGCAAATAGTAAATTGTTTCTTCTCTTGTAAAATCTGTAAAAAAATAGAATTCTTTTTAAGATCTTGTTGGTCATTCATCAAAATAGAACCTTTAAGATCAACCTTCACTGCTACAGCAGATAAAAATAAAATCCCCTTTGCCCAAGGATGAAAAGATCTATAATACGAGGGTGTGTGTTTGCTTAAGGCCTGTCCATTATCCATAATCCTGCAAAGTACAAGAGTATAAAATTAATTTGTTGTCAATGACCTTTCTTCTTCATTTTCTTGCATTATTTCTAAGTATTTTGTTTGAGTGGGACTTATTTTGAAATCTTCAGTTCAGCTGGATTTAAATATATTTAAATGTAAATTGGTAATACCTATGTCTTCTAGTTTCTGCTACATTTGAATTATCAATGATGTCAGTTATGATTGATAAATTAATAAAGTAGCTAAATAAATGAATAAACAAGTTATCACAGTACGAAACCATGCAGTCAAGAATTCATTTAATAAAAATATTTAGCTCATTTGACTCAATGTACTCAAATGAAGAAATTCTAATTCACTACTCAACCCCCATCCCTGATAGTTTCTATGACTATATATTTGACAAACATTATTATTTTCTGTAAAATAAGAATTCTCATTGTTCTAGGAAATTGCAGAGCTTGAGGAAGAAAATGAACCATTAGATATGAGTTGGCCTGAAGGATGGCGGAAACGTGTCACTTACGTACTTGTTGCTCCACTTACCTTTCCAATGTGGCTCACTCTACCTGATGTACGGAGACCTGTAAGTCAACACATGTATTTAATAGGGTTTATACAACACATATTCATTCACTGGGTTTATAGGGGTTGTTTTGAGTTGTCCAATTCTGTGTGTCTACTCCATCCTAAACATTGGAGTGAGTGTTTATTGTAAAAGTGCTGAAATATTTTTATAGTGTATCTATATCTTCCTTTGAGTATACAGGGTTCACAAAAATGCTTGAAAACATTATTGCCACAATTTACCATACTGGCATTCAATGTCCAACATCATTGCTAAGAGTAAAAAGTGATGCCACGCATTAAAACAATTTGTAAAGCTCTAAAACCTAATAATTAGGTATAAGGAACTAAAGGACTAATTGTATGAATAATTTTTTCCCAGTTCGCGAAACGATCAATAAAATGGAGATGATTTATTTATAAGGTTGAACGAGAATTCCTAGTATATTAAATACCATCTGCGTTCACGATGAGCCTGTCAGGCAAACATTTTGTGACAATATGTCTCGACTAGCTATCCCATGATTGCTTGATGCACTAATATCGCTTGAAATCACCTCTGATTTGATTAATCTATATTGATCCTCGATTATCATTATTATTATCGATTATTAATAATCCTTTTTCAAATCAACTTACCTTGAAAACCAACTTGACACAGCAAAACTAAAAAAAAAAAAAAAATTAGAATTAAAAACCATTTGATGAACAAATGAGTTGTCACATATCTTCGTGATTTTAACTGATTGTGAACTTAAGCAGTATACTAGATAATTCCATTTGTAATTTTAGATGCCCTATATGCATTTTCACACCAAATATTATAGCATTAATTATCTGAATATGTAATAAAACCAATAACACTCTTGGCATTTTATGGTTTTAAGATGTTATTGTATCATTCCAATTTGCGATATATTTAGCGATTTCTATGTTAAATGAATAGTGAGCCCTTAGCGAAATATAAATCCCGTAAATATAATCACTTATATTCGTAATATGGAAAACATTATTGCAATAAATATAACCCAAAAACAAAAGCCTGATGTGAGGAGGACATTTGGGAACTCTTGCCAAAAAAACACTTGAAAATGCTTAGGTTGGTGAAAAACTGCATGATTTTGAAAGAAATTTTGGCCGGGATTCGACTTCTTGACCCGCTCCCTACCCCCTGGCTTGGACTATGTAATTGCTATGTATCGAATGGTTTTTCATAATATCAATATACATATCAATTAATAAAGATTGTATCATGGGATCTCTGGTTTCAACATTTCTGTTTGGTAGGATTGTAGTTCAGATAATACCTTGAAAACCATTGAGCATATAATCCCAGGAAAAACCAATGTTTCATTGAACAATGATTTGCAACCAAATATTGTAATATCATGAAATTAATGATAACTATGCCATAAATTCAGACTTAAATAGATTCCTACTGTCCAATATGAACCTTTTATTACATCTTTTTAGAATGCCATATTATCCCCATCTTGTGCTGATGCATGTTTGCATCAAGGCAGCCAGAGGCTACATACATCAAATTCAAGAAAAAAAGTGCTTAGCTGTTCAGCTTGAAATTTTCACAGATGTTAGAACAGATTAGTGCAAAGATCTGCGCGGGTTTTGGGCATGCTGGGTTATAACTTTGCAGTCATTTTGAATTTTTCATCAAAAATGTGCAATATGTTTCAATGTATGTCTTGTTTCTATGTTTCAGGAAAAGGAGAGGTGGTTCCCAATAACATTCCTTGGCAGTATAATCTGGATCATGGGCTTCTCCTATTTGATGGTCTGGTGGGCCACTGTTATAGGAGATACCATTGGCATTAATCCAGAGGTATTTATCTTCCTTGTCTCTTTCTCCAGAGAAGTCTTACAAAACGTCATGTGGATTCAACATCATTTTGTGTGAAGATGACGGGGGGGGGGCAATGAAATGAATCAGCTTGAAATGAATCTTATATTCAATGTGAAGAGGGGGGCCAATTTCAGCTTGTAATGCTTCTGGAGTTAGGCCTTTCACATCATCATAAACTACATACCATCTGTACATGTATATCGTCTATTTTATATTTCAAAAATAAATTCAGCAACACCTTGAATGCTTAAGAGGCCATTGCTTCTTTGAGCTATCTCAATTTTAGGGTGTGGATATTTATAAGAATATGTATCAGCTTAGACCCATCATGAATTGAGAGTCATGTCACACAGACATCATCCCTTTGTTAATACCGGATAGTATATACATTACTCATATTTGACCCTGATTTAAAGTTTTTAAGCACAGCTTATATTAAAATCAGTTGACCTGTTCTAATTACCTTCACCACCCTATGCAAACAGCGCCTGCAATAAACCCTTGGTGCAGATGATTAAGAACTCGGTGTGGAGCCAACAGCCAATTTTGAATTTGAATTGATCATTCCCATCAATGAATTTAAACACTGAGTATCATTGTAAAATTGTTAATTATTAATATGATTCTTGTTACCTAGGTGATGGGTATAACATTCCTAGCTGCAGGAACATCTATCCCAGATTTGATCACTAGTGTCATAGTGGCCAAGAAGGGCTTTGGTGATATGGCCGTCTCCAGTTCAGTTGGTAGCAATATATTTGACGTCACCGTTGGGTAAGTTCCCATACAGACACATGACTTGTTAACTTCAGGCAATCAAGTATGAATAAAAGTGAAACTTGTTAATTAGCATAGCTCTGAAAATAACCTTGGTAAGTAGAGCACCTCCAAGGTGTCAATGGTGTTCCACTTACACAGGTTTTACAATATGCTCTTTTTAAGTATGTGTGTTCATTATTTCGAAATTCTGTAATTAATTGAAATCAATGGTACTTACATGTATTTGATCAGAATTTGAACATTTATTGGGGAATCATGGTTTGTCTTAACGGCAAATGTCATATGACAACTTCAAACAAAAGCACATGTATTTTATCACTTATTGGGGAATAAAAGCACATGTATGTTATTTCTGATTTAGCATGGAATGCTGCATAGAACAGAACTGTGTAGAATGTTCCGTTCTTATATAAAAGGAATAAATATTACAAAGATGTCAAACTGACAAATCCAAATCGGCCATCCATGATCGTAAATAAATCAGTTGTGACTCTCAAAAGGAAGCATTTATTATTACGTTAAAAGTGTGTACTCATGAAGAACAAAAAGCTTTTACTTTTCTGAATAATTCAATATGATGGTATGATCTAATGTCAATAAAAACGAGACAATTGATCCAATAGATCAACATTCTGGGGTTACCATGATAGCAAAATAACAAACTGGAAATAGAATCTGTTTTTCCAAACTTGATTTCTGACAGACTTCAAGAAAGGAAGCATAGTTATACTATAACCTGTCTTGTGTCATATCTCATGTCATATCATATCAAATATATTATTTAAATGAATGAAAAAAAAACAATTTTTATGTATATGATATGTCATTGATTTTGTTTATGATGTACATGTACCCTGTCTCTTCAATTGACTCAAACATATCAACGATAATGTGTCAAAATTCATTTTTAATGAATAACTTATCAGGAAAATATATTTTATTGTTTTACAATACCTATTCATAACCTTCCCTCGGGAAAATTTGTGTTCTAGAGATATCAACTATCTTTTGTGTTTTTCTGACATCAGAGAATGTTTTATAAGTTTTTGTGGGATATGAGGGGAAAGGGTCATTTACTTTTCCTTTAGTCTTGTTTGTTATTGATAATTCACAAAGAGAATATTTCAATTTCATTTCAGGTATTACATATTTTTCAAAACAAAAGCTGATTGTATTATTTGACAGGAAAGACGTATTGACCACATATTCCAATTCATTGTGAATCTTGAATTGATTTCCTTTATGCTGATAGCCATAAACAAAAATATAATCTCATGTCAGTGGACCTTCACTTGAACTATAAGTAACCACTTACATGTATCTGTCAGCACTAGGTTAAGATCAGGAAAATTCCTGTTTTTGGTAAAATTTGCCTAAAAGTCTTCGAGGAAATATATAAATAAATAATAATAAATGTTAAATTAATTGAAATTGGTTCTCAATCATCCATAGCCGTTACATTTGATTGGTTATTTAATGAATTCCAGTGTACCAGTGTTGAGTGCTCTGAATTGATCCACAGCCATTAAATGCATCATGTAAGAGTTGGACTCAATTCTTTCAAAAGAAAGGAACTGGAAGTGAATCACCATGGGAACAGACCTTTCTTATGGAAATATCCCAAGCCTTTCTCCATATCAAATGGGATTGTTATGTTTCTTATAAACTTTCTTATCGGAGGTGACCATCCAGGGATTTTCTCTAAGATTTATCTTCATCGACTATGCTTCATTTAATCGTGCGTCTAGGTTATACTCCATAACGCTATTGACATTTTTAACAAAGGAAACTGCTTCGTTAACTGTGATATTAATCAGGGATAGCTTTTATATAGAATTAAAATCTGCCATTTGTAAAGTATGAATTCCAGTTATAATTATTAAAAGTGTCCATGTTGATTTTGAAGTGGTTATAAATGTTTTATTTGATTACTTGTCATGAAAACAGTTGATCGATGATTGTTTATAAGAATGCTGTTTTCTCATGCGTTTCTGAGTTTTATAATTATCGTTTCTATAGAAACAATGTCCTTATAATATATTAATGCACAGGATCTGATTGAATTGGTCAGAAATTGAGACCATGCGCATGCTTTGATTATTATTTTACATTTTAAAAATTGTGTGCTGAGAAAACTTGCTGAAAACACATACTGAGAAATTTTTTGTTTTACATTTGTTCATTCCTCAATTTCTCAGCACTCAATTTTTATGTCTGTACCACTAAAAGTCGTGACATATTTTTATGGCTACCATTTTTTGGGATGCATATTTGAACTTGATATGGGCATGTGTATTCCATAAGTTTTGCCACTTGAATTATTCAGTTGATAGCATATCAAAGTCTGTCTATGTTTGAATCTGTATTTAATTCCTTTATTGAAATAGTTTGGAAATATATTGATGAGTTTTTTTGTTATTCATTCTGATATCTACTCCAAAAGGTGATTTCCAGTTGCCAAATTTATGGAGGGGGGTGTATCTATTGTAATACTATTCTAACTGGTGACATTTTGCCCCTTCAATGCTTTGTATTGTCTTTTTTGTATCACAAATAAAATAGGATTTCAGATTCTTTGTTCAGACTTTAAGTACCCAATAAGTGCACCTTTATTATCTGATTATCAGTTTAACATGGAGATGATAAATAGAAACGTTACGTCACGCATCAACCAACAATAGAACCTTAAGAGAATACAAAAGACAAAACAATAGCCATTGTACTATAAGAAGTATAAAGGAGGAGAGTTGAGTACAATTCAATATGTCAAATAATCCCACTAATTTGCAATAAAGACACTGATCTGGTAATATTTGTCTAAGATTTCCTGGATAATTGTAAAAAGAATTATGATATCAAGTTACTTAAACCAGACGCAAGTCTTATATTCATGCACGCTATTTGAAGATTACAAAATTCTCAAGTAAATTTTATTGTTCTCTGGGCTTCTTAAATGCTTCAATTATTAGTCAGATTATATCGTGATAAACCATGACATGTCAGTTCATTCAGACCACTATGATGAGACAAAAATAGTGTAAGAGTGTAAAAATGCTGAGAATAAAGGAAACTGATTTGCATTAATTCATGAGGGGATGTGAAAATGGAGTTTTTAATGTGCACTATTTTTTTGGGTGTTTATGTACCCATTTCAACGAGAGGAAACATGGTGAAAAATTGTTTATTTATACATTGAAATAGCATAAGATAATAGCATGGATAATTGTAAAAAGAATTATGATATCAAGTTACTTAAACCAGACAAAATCTTATATTCGTGCACGCTATTTGAAGATTACAAAATTCTCAAGTAAATTTTATTGTTCTCTGGGCTTCTTAAATGCTTCAATTATTAGTCAGATTATATCGTGATAAACCATGACATGTCAGTTCATTCAGACCACTATGATGAGACAAAAATAGTGTAAGAGTGTAAAAATGCTGAGAATAAAGGAAACTGATTTGCATTAATTCATGAGGGGATGTGAAAATGGAGTTTTTAATGTGCACTATTTTTTTGGGTGTTTATGTACCCATTTCAACGAGAGGAAACATGGTGAAAAATTGTTTATTTATACATTGAAATAGCATTTTATATTGAATATCGTTATTGAGTCTCCAATTGTTCATATCTTAAGGGGCTTTATCCTGCTTTCGGCATTAAATATATATTCAATAACATACTTTTTAGTGGAAGGTGAGAGGCCAATTCGTTAAAAAACAAAAATTCCTTTTCAGGGAATATTTTATTCGATACCGATCTTGTAATATTCTATTCTATTGTTATTCACCCATATTGATGATACACTTTGGATTGATTTTTGATTTGCTTACGATTAGATTTTAAACCCACGCTTGATCAATTCACAGAATGTCAGGTTTACGTAATATAGGGGTCATTTCAAAATGCCTCATTTTGTCATCTTTTTGGCTAATAAAACAGTTTTATTAGTTTTCTTGATTTCTCATGAAAATAAAGATTATAAGAATCATGCAATTGTAAGCTTAGCAATATCCTTTAAGAGTTTATATTAATCTATATGTCTAGTAACATCCTTTAACATTATCCTACTTTTTTCAATAAATTGAATTATGGAACCTATTTTCCTTAATTATGGATTGGTTCGAGACTACATCCTTATATTGAGTTATTTAAGGGAATTGCATATTTAGGTGTCAAAATAAATCACAAAAGATTGTTCCAGGGAAAATACTTAATGAACTTGACAAAAATGGAATATGGATGTAAACAGTTACTGAGGTCATAAATAAAGCAAGTGGTAGCTGCGATTGGATTAAATCGCTGGCGAGTTATGAGACAAATATGGTGGTAAAGAGAAAGCTAGTGCACATTTTAGCGTGAATGATTATAGTGACACATTATTTTCCTTCATGAGAATATGATAATGTGAAAAACAACTTTGGGATATATATATATTTAACCATTTTCTTGCTTCATGTGTTGCAGGTTGCCGTTCCCATGGCTGCTATGGTACGCCATCTATCAGAGGCCATCAATCAATGTGGACAGCGATGGTCTCTTCTGCTCCATCGTTCTTCTCTTCCTGATGCTTATACTCGTCATTACTGCCATCGCCATCTTCAAATGGCAGATGTCCAAGGCTCTTGGGGCATCCATGTTCGTTCTCTATGTAGTTTTCCTAACTATAAGCTTGTTACTGCTGGCCAACATCATTCCCTGTCTATTATCACCCTAGATATTTACGGAGACCAGACAGGTGAGACAAAAACTGTTAATAGCCCCAGGTACATGGGACTCAAGTACTTGGGACTCAACAGTCAAATGCCTGATTGATCTAAACATCAGGATTTCATAAATATGCAGTAATGAACCCAAGAATGACTACTAGAGAGGTGCAGAATCCTAGAATGACCTGGATTAAGCCTGGACTCCCGAGGATATGCTTAGACATCCTAGAATAGGTCTGCCCATCCTAGAATAGGCGAAGGCTTTCAAGATTAAGTCTGAATGCTCTAGAATATGCCTAGACATCCTGAAATAGGCCTGCATGTCATACAATAGGCCTTGATATCACAGATGCGACCCATGACCCCCTAGATGAGGCTATATTTCCAGAGATTGGGTATATATGCGATAAAATTGTCAGTTGCCATAATTACTGGATTCCTAAATGTGAGACCACATATCAATTTGGTGCGGTGAAACAATGTTAGTAAAGTGAAAGTTGGAACAGTAATACAAATACCATGCACACAAAACCGGTGATGAAGTTGCTACGACAACTACTATGAGTAGCGATGACAACATTAACACAGTAAAGGCATCATTTGAAAACCGAATGTTCACAACTTTGACCAGAGAAGAGTAAGATTTTGTGACTATTGAAATGGAGAAATCCATGAGCAAGAAGACGTGAAACATATGAGCCTACAGAAACAAGACATATTAGCTCATTCACCAACTCAATCTGGGGTTCATTTTGGGTATGATCGTAACTTACGATTCCAAGAAAACCATTGTCTACTTTTTGACAAACACGTAATTTACGACAATTCCAAAAACAGACCCTGCATGGATAGAACTTAATTTTATTGAAGTTTGTTACAGAGTAACAATGACTCGTTTATTTATTCAAAACCTATGATGTAACAATGAGTAGTTTTGTTAATGTGATCTAACAACGAGTAGTTTTGTTAATGGCTCTTTCATAAGATCATAATTTATAGATCATCTGCTCTGAGACCTTTGAGGGCTTATTGGTATTAAATTGCATCATGTACAACGTACCTGGTTGGCGTAATGATAGACCATGTCTCAAGAGAAATATACTAGAGTGGTTTGATTTGTTAAAAATCTCTTTTCGAGAAATTGTGTTACTGAGAAATTAACAAATGGCATGTAAAATGTTAAATGTTTGAAATTAGCAAGTTTTATAAATGCAATTATTGGGAGCATTTTTCCATGCGTTTTAGAAAAATTGCATAAAAAGAAAGGGTATTGATATTGGTATTGGTATTGATTAAATGGCAATTATGGTTATGTCAAAAGAATCTATCTCAAAGGGGCATTGAACTCTCAAGAATTGTAACTTTTATAACGAAGATCTGATACAATCTCATGTACATACAGGCATACATGTATACTACTAGTATAATTTGTCTGGAGTGCTTTTGAGGAATTTTTGAATCTTCATATCTTGACTTGTTATTATGTCGCATTTATCACCGTTTTTAAGTACGCAATCGTTTACATCTCCCCAGGAAATTATAGCAAATATTGTGCTTTGCTATTTTTTATTTTTTATTTATTTATTGGAAACACTTTTATTACAGCGGAACACAAATGGTTCTTCCAGACATTGGCAAAACATTTAAAAGCATATATCAGTTTACAGGCATTATATACATGTATAAGAAACTAAAACATGTTATTGGGTCTGGGGTTTATATACACATTTTAAAAGACCCTTTACACATTTATCGAACTTAAAAGCTTCTTCTTGTCCCCACAATGTAAAAATGTCCTCACCTAAGGCCCAACATGTTTTAATTTGCACACTGGCTGATAGAAGACCCGACGATAGTGCTGGATTACATTTTTCAATAACATTTTTATAAAAAGTATTTCTATCATTACCAAAGAAAGGGCAAACAAAAAGTCTATGTTGGATGGTGTCTTTTACATTTTTATCACATAACGTACATATTCCATTTCCCTGTCCCCATTTTTCGTATTCTGTTTTTAAGCCAAAACACCCTGATCTAGCTTTGAACTTTAATTTTTGCCCATAGAAGTCAAAATCTGTGGTCAGGTAGTTTTTTAAGAAGGGATGGGGATTTAGACATCGATACAGTGAGAGTGAAGACTTTTCATTCAATGCAGATTTAAAATTATTAAGCCTTTCTTGATCTGATATTTTGATAAGGGCCTGATACCAGTCAATATCATCTCTGTAGATAACATCATCCAGTCCATATTTTGTTAGGATGGATTTTATGTTTGAAAAGTAAGGGAATGCTTTGCTTTCATCATTAGCACAGAAGCCATCATACATAGAATTAAATATCTTTTTGTGTAATGACCCTTCTTTGATATTACATTTTAGATATATAAAGTAATCTATTTGCCTTTTTTCAATGACATCAACAAGAGGTCTCCAGCCTAAATCACCTAAAAGTGCTTCTCTGGCTGGGCAACACCTAATTTGGAGAATTGATCTCCCAATATTATATTGCATTGATTTCATTTTATCCGTGTTAGTTTTGTTTAACATGAATATAGGACAGCCATGAAGAATGGCAGGGACAAACATTGAGTTGTACATTTTCTCCCCAAATTTGAGACGCATGACATTACAGTGTTTTGTCAAAGTGGAGACTATCATACCTTGAATTCGTTTAGATTTTTCAGCAAGGAAGTCAATGTGGCCAGAGTCTTTTAGAGACCGATCAAAATATATCCCTAGATACTTATAACTTTTAACCTCAAATAATTCATGGCTGCCTAAGATCCATTTTTTATTTTTGTCAATTCTTTTCCCAATGACCATAACCTTTGATTTTTTAGGGCTAAAATTGAACCCCCATTTAATAGAAAAGATGTCAGCAATTTTTAACATTCTGTTCATTGTAGATTCATTTTCGGCAAGTAAAACAACATCATCGGCGAACATAAGAACTGGGACCTTTTCATTTTCAAAAGGTAACCCTATATCTTCATTGTTGAACATTTCAACAAGGTCGCTCATAACAAGGGAAAACAGAGTCGGGGAGAGGCAGCAACCCTGTTTTAGGCTGTAGACAGGGTTGCACTCTTCCCACTCTGTTGAAATTGTTCCAAAAATCACTTTGCTTTTAACTCCCACATATAATTCCCTCAAAATGCGCCAGACTTTGCCTTGAATCCCCTTTTCCCATAATCGTAAAAATAAAAGGTCCCTGTTGACCACGTCGAAGGCTTTAGAGATGTCCAAAAAAGATAAATAGGTCTTAAGGTTGTTGTTTTTCCTCATGCTACAGATACCTTTGAGGGCAAAAATATGGTTTTCTAATCTCAAACCTGATCTAAAGGCGCCTTGCAAGTCACCCAAAACGTTATTAACTTCGAAAAACTTCAAGATCTTAGATTCCATAATAGAGGTGAAAAGCTTGTAAATGTTAGAGTTTATTGTTATGCCTCTATAGTTGTCAAGTATTTCCTTATCTGAATTCTTGTGAATGGGAAATAAAAGACCTTCTTTCCATTCTTTGGGCATTTGTTCTCTGATCTTCACTTGATAAAATATTTCAGATATTGATTTAATTATAATAGGCCCCCCTTGCTTCAGAAATTCATTTGGAATTTGATCTGTTCCACATGCTTTACCATTACTTAACCCTTTGATACATTCGGAAACTTCACCTTCATCAAATGTAACATCAAATAAAGCATTGTCTGAAAATGTAGATGACATATGAAGCTCTCTAAGTTGCTGAGACAAGTCTGTTTTTACTGAACGATCATTTACATTGTTGAGACCAACATTTTTCCAGTATTTAGCAATTGACTGAGATACTTTCCGAGGGTCAGTTATTATACATTTTGGGTCATCTGGGTCTTTTATTTGTATTGGGTGTCCTGCTTTTGCATTGAACATTTTTAATGTTTTCCAAAAAGATTTTGAATTAGATTTCTTTGAGGCATTCTTTGTGATAGTCTTAATATGGTTTTGAATGTGTACTTGTTTAATCTTATCACGAACTTGCTCTTTTCTTTGAATATATAAATCCCACATTTCTTGCAGCACATTGGGGTCGCATGTTTTGGCGCGTTTCCAATACCTAAAGAAACGACATGCTTCCCTTCTATTTTTGATTAATTGTTTGATTTCTTCATTCCAGAATGATACATAGTTGGGGGAGATTACCTTAGTTCCCACGGACTCATAGGCTGCCTCTTTGACTTTACCCTTCCAAACTGCCCATGCTTCCTCAATATTAGAGTATAATGAAATATCCCAGGAATTAAATTGTTTTGTTATAAGTTGCTGGAACTTTGTCCAGTCTGTATTTTCTGAGATTTTCCAACTTGGTGTTTTAATTACTTCATTTGACATTTTATTTTTAGATTTGGATTTAGAATCTGACCCGCAACAAGAGCCTTCAACAACAAGAAGTCTGTTAATAAGGGATGTACATTGTTAATGTTTGTACAGTATCCATATTTCAGTATATGCATTTAATTATATTGTGCTCTTCAGAATCTGTATTTGATTAAAATGTGGTATCTGCATTATTATGAACTTTGGCAGAGTATCTGCATTTTTTTTATTCTATTGAGCTGTGCAATATCTGTATTTATATTTAATTACATTGTGCTGCCAAAACTTTATTTTGCTTAAAATTGTAACAAAAGACACTTCAGACCAAGTGAGTGAACCCAATCAGATCATTGTAACTCTTAATGCATAAAATACTTGAAACTATAAATGTTATCGATTTTCTTTTCTTAATAAAGTTTCTTGCTTTATCAGAGAATTGTTAATCTGTAGCGTGATGTCAGGCATCAGGATCAGATGTCAGGATCAAATGTCAGGTGTCACAGAATATGGCACTGTGATAATTGATCTTCTCAATGAATTACTTTGTCAAGT